AACAGCCAGAAGTAAACACATCTATGAAAATGTAATCATATTTTTCTAACAAAAGGAGGCTTTTTATAAAGCACCCTGCAATGTATATCTATTTTTTGTGCCTAATTTTAAATGTAATATACGAGCCTTAATTTCAGCACGTGTGCTATTAAACATCTAGCAAGAAACATATTGCAAATTAACATAATTATATCAGGAATTCCCACTAGCCCAAAACGCTATTTGTCAGATTGCATTATGAATACTGAAATCCAACATTTCTGGCTGAGGTCATTTGTCACCAATATCAGACATTCCAGCGCTCTGTATATCAACCCGGAGCAGATGAATAGGGGAAATAATAATAATAATAATAATATGGAGTTTACTTTGCATGTGGATATCCAACACGTTCACGGGTGTCTGAGCAATTATTCAAATTGTCCTTGATCTTTCCCTAAGTCCTTGTTTCTAGCTAATTGAGAATCATCTCCATCCACTGTTCTATTCTTCTTACCCCAATTACAATTTCTCATTTCCTAATTTAAGTGACCAGACTATTCATTCATTTGCACATTTGTTTTCCTACAGCTCACGATAATAGCAATTCTGCCATTCATGTTGGGTTTTTTTTTTGGGGGGGGGAGGAAAGGCTTTAATATTCAAATTCTTTACATTTTCTCCTAGCAAGAATAACAAACAACACAGTGCTAGGCTGCATTAACAGAGGGATAGAATCAAGATCAGGTGAAGTGTTAATACCACTTTACAAGGCCTTGGTAAGGCCACACTTGGAGTATTGCATCCAGTTTTGGTCACCGTGATGTAAAAAAGATGCTGAGACTCTAGAAAGAGTACAGAGAAGAGCAACAAAGATGATTAGGGGACTGGAGGCTAAGACATATAAGGAACGGCTGCTGGAATTGGGTATGTCTAGTTTAATGAAGAGAAGGACGAGGGGGGACATGATAGCCGTGTTCCAATATCTCAGGGGCTGCCCCAAAGAAGAGGGAGTCAAGCTATTCTCCAAAGCGCCTGAAGGCAGGACAAGAAGCAACGGATGGAAACTAATCAAGGAGAGAGGCAATCTAGAACTAAGGAGAAACTTCCTGACAGTTAGAACAATTAACCAGTGGAACAACCTGCCTCCAGAAGCGGTGAATGCTCCAACACTGGAGGTTTTTAAGAAGAGACTGGACATTCTATGGTATAGGGTTAAATGGTATAGGTTTCCTGCCTGAGCAGGGGGTTGGACTAGATGACCTCCAAGATCCCTTCCAACTTTATTACTATTATTATTATAATTGTTATTGTTGTTGTTGATGATGTTGTTGTTGTTATTATTATAAAAATTCTGTACCATCTACAAAATCCCTTGTCCCATGGCTGGTGAGTTTCTTCATCTCTCCCAGTTATCTGTCAACTGTGTCTATGAACAGAGTTGAACCAGCAACCTTGGTTTATTCATTTTTCGAGGATCCTAAGTAGCAAAGTATGGAATTTATCTTGTTGGAACCTTTCAAATTTTCCCAAGATTAAAAAAGTAACTTCTTCTCCAATTTGAATTCTAGTGACTCCATAGGCAAGATATAGTAACCAATATTCAGGGCTGCTGGACATTATCTTCTATACAATATATGTATGCAGAAAGTTCTAGCACAGTGGTTCTCAACCTGTGGGTCAGGACCCCATTTGGGGTTGAACGACCATTTCACAGGGGTCGCCAAACAGCGCAGTCCGCCATTTTTTTCCCCTTTTCCTTAGCTGTGCTACTTCCTTTTATTCTATTGGCTTTTGAAAGCCAGTAGAATAGACTCTCTTGAATAGAGTCTAATTCTATTGGCTTTCAAAAGCCAATAGGAATTGTCCAGGCTGTCTCTGCCCTGCTGAGCCCGCCAAAAGTCCCATTCTGCAAACGGTGCTGCACCAGTTGAGTAGTCCTTGACTTACGACTGGTTGGGGGTTGCGGCATTAAAAAGGTTGAGAACCACTGTTCTAGCAGATGATTTGTAGAAAAGTATGGACAGGCCATGGGATACCGATTGATAGGGATTGATCATTTTTCAAATGGTTTGCAGCACATTGAAAAGGAACAACGGTAAAGCAGAAAATTCACTCAAAGAATGTGTGTGTTGGTGTGGGCGTGTACGTGTGTATGTGCATACTTGAATTTTAGTAATAATTGTGGTCCAAATAAATTACCTAATCAAACTAGGTTGATTTCATAAAGCTAAACTGGTCCAATCCTGATTACTGTGTAGATGAAAAATCAGCAGTATGAACACTTGAAGCTTTACAATATCTTCTTTGGCTTGGAAAGTAACTGGACAATTTAAAGAAATTTAAATAGCCAACTTCTCTGATCAAAATGTTGTTTTGTTTTTTTTCTTCAGAATAACTGTAAATGAACTGGCATTTTTTAAAAATCTCATACCCAAATTTGGTCTGGATAAACTGGATTTTGACCATCTTTATTCTTTTGGGAGAAACTTCTCTTAAAGTTTGGAATTTTCAACCCTTATGAAGGCAACTGCTTCTGCTTTCTTCCGGTGCTCCTGTGAGTTAACTGTAATATATCACTATTACAGTTACATTCAAATACTGGCAAAATAAGCCTGCAATTATGAAGGCATTTGTAAAGATTCTAGCATATTTATGAAACAATGTAGAGGTGCAACTCTGATCTTTGGTAATTTCTCATAAAAATGCATTAATAATGTATGTTTATCCCATTATACTTTCAGAACCATTAGCAGTGTTTTGTCATCCAAAGGCACCACTTGCTGAATAATATTGTAAATGAAAAGAATGCATAAGTTCATTCTGTGCTAAATCTAAAAAAAACATCCACATTCTTTGAAATTCTAAGCTTTCCTGAACTATGTTTTCATAATAAAGATTTAGGCTATTACAGAATACATTTTTTTTTGCCAAAGAAAATGCAATTTATCTAATCTTTGTGTAGTTAACTGTTGCAAAAATATTGACAACTTTGTTAAACAATGTACGTGGGAAAACATTCATTTTTGCATGCCCCAAAGAAACGACGGGGATGTGTTTATTCCAGATTGCTGTGGTGTGATGCATGGGAGCCAGATGAAGATCTAATAACTTTTTTTGGCATTGTCATCTACCCATCGTTTTTATTTATTCCCATCATTTGTATGCCACCTCCTATCGACTCATAACTCAATAACTCAATACAAATGACAAGAAGACCAAAACAATTCACATGTTATAGTCTTGACATTGTAAAACTCATAATGCAAGGGACCATTTTCACAGCTCTCCCAAATGTCAAAAAGGAGATGGGGGAGGGAGAGGGAGGGAGAGGGGGAGAGAGAGATGGAGAGAGAGAGAGGGAGAGGGAAGGAGAGAGGAAGGGAGAGAGGGAGAGGGAGAGGAAGAGAAAGGGAGAGGGAGAGAGGGGGAGAGAGGGAGATGGAGAGAGAGGGAGAAGGAAGGAGAGAGAGAGGGAGAGGGAGAGAGTAGGGAGAGAGAAGGGAGAGAGAGGGAGGGAGAGGGAGAGAGGGAAAGGGAAAGAGGGAGAGGGAGAGGGGGAGAGAGAGGGAGAGGTAGAAAGGGAGAGAGAGAGGGAGAGGGAGAGAGAGAGAGAGGGAGAGGGAGAGAGAGAGAGAGAGAGAAAGAGAGAGAGAGCGCTATTGCAGAGTGAAATGGGCGCAACTGAGAAGGTTCCTAACTACTAAATATCTAGGACCATGGTCTCCAACCTTTCCAGCTCTACGGACTGGTGATGGTAGGGGGGTTGGGATAGGGGATGGTTTTTGCAAATGCAGAAATTTTGTACATGCTTACTCAGGCTCACCTGGTTCTCAACTGGTTGTGGCTGCAACTGGGCCACAAATCAGGAGTCTAGATCTAGGGGATGGTTCTTCTCAGCATGACCTCCCAGTTACACATTGTATATAATGAACGGACACATTCTTCTTAAAGATTCTCTAGCCAGCTTCTATGGCTAGAGAAGAGCTGCTCAAATAAGGTTCTTTAATTCTTGGATGAAAACCACTTTCTACTTTGTGTGAAGATCTTAGAATCATTAAGGACTCAGTGACTATAAATGACTTGTTTGCTTTGCCACAACTGGATTTCAGATTTCATAGGTAGTCGAGCATTAAAATTTGCTTGAGTTTTGCATTTGATAGTGACGTTATTTGTCCTTATGGTTCTAACATCTATAAATATCCATTCAGGACAAATTGTCATTGTATTTAGATGTATCTCTAGGTAAATGTGTACAAATGTGACTAAATATAAATGAAATACGAACGAATTGGTTATTATTAGTTTGACTGGGGCAGAAATTAGACCAGTGATCAAAAATAACTGGGAAAAAGCCAAGAATTTTTTTTTTTAAAAAAAATGTGTCAGTTTTATATCATACAAATTATAAGGACCATACATAATTATGGGATCTAATGGTATGGATGGCAACACCTAAGGGATTAAGCATGAAAAAATAGCTCCAAAGTTCTCACAAATCAGTGAATTGAGTAGATTATATCTATATATCTATAGAGATAGAGAGATAGAGATAGAGATGGATAGAGATAGATAGATAGATAGATAGATAGATAGATAGATAGATAGATAGATAGATAGATAGGTGGCAGGCAGGCAGGCAGACAGACAGACAGACAGACAGATAGAAGATAGATAGATAGATAGATAGATAGATAGATAGATAGATAGATAGATAGACAGACAGATAGACAGAGAAGCATGCTAGCTTCTCTCTACCTCACAATCTTAGGAAAAGCTAAAGGAAACAACAAAAAGGCTGTGTGTTATTGTCATGGCTATGACTAAGCCTCACTCCCAAGAAATTATTGGAGAACCTATTTTCCCCTGGACAAATTTGAGGATTGATTTATCTTAACAATTTTTCCTTCTGTGTGGGAGGAAGAATTTGGAAGTGGGATTTGTGCCTAGCTCTACACTGAAATTTAATTATGAGCTCTTTGCTTGCCTGTGTTATTATCTATTAATAATCGTGTTTTCAGTTTCAGAAGTGCAGGAATCTGTGAGGGCTGACCTCCTATGGATGCAAGTGGCAAACTGTGCCTATTTGTAAAGCAATTAACAAAGGTTGTATTCCTCAGGTACTTCCATTCTGAAGTTTGAATAGCCACTTAAGAAAGATAATTGCTATCAGTAATTGTATATTCATATATTTAAACTTACCAAAGGGATATATTTTTTAAAAAAAAAATTAACAGTACAGACCTATTCATGTTCACTCAGGAAATGTTCCATTTGGCCTCTATGAGCTTTTTTTTTTTCTTCTAACTAAAAATGTGTAAGGTTGTAGCTTGGATGATTTTACCTTATTAACTTCTGCTGATTCAGAAGTTGGAAAAGATACTGAGGAAATCCCCAATTAATTGAGCTTGGCTAGAGGATAAACCAAAATGGCTGTAGCTTTAAAATTAAGGTCAATGATGGCAGTGTCAATATATGGTTAATTTGCAAGATTGTAATGATCTGTGTGAATGACCTTGGTCAGTGGTGGGATTCAAATATGTGAACAACCGGTTCTCTGTGTGGATGCCACTTTGGGAAGTCTGGTCTGGGCTTGGTCAACAACAACAACAACAACAACAACAACAACAACAACAACAACAAATAGCTACTGGTTCTACTGAACTGGTGTGAACCTGCTGAATCCCACCACTGACCTTGGTAGACAGGAAGATGGACCACAGACTGGACAATAAGTCTATATCAATAAAGAAGAATATTTGTAATTCAGGGTTGAAATAGAAATAGCACTTAGACCAGGGGTCTTCAAACTTGGCCCTTTTATGACTTGTGAACTTCACCTCCCAGAATTCCTCAGCCAACGTGTCTGGCTGAGGAATTCTGGGAGTTGAAGTCCACAAGTCATAAAAGGGCCAAGTTTGAAGACCCCGGACTTAGACTTATATACCACTTCACCGTGCTTTATAGCATTCTCTGGGCAGTTTATAATGTCAGCCTATTGACCCCCCCCCCAACAATCTGAATTCTCATTTGACCTTGGAAGGATGGAAGGCTGAATCAACCTTGAGCCAGTCATGATCAAACTCTTCGCAGTGAGCAGAGTCAGCCTGGAGTACTGCATTCTAACCACTGCACCACCACAGAAATGAGGGGTCCTTGGTGCTTTCTGAACTTGGTTGCTTTCTTGGAGACATTTCATCAACCAAACCAGGTAACATCATCAAGGCTAGAGAGCATCAAGGATCCCTCAACTGGCATATAAAAATTAGCCAAAAGCAGGAAAGAGGGCATGAGAAACATTTCAGAAGAGACCCTGGAGAATAAAAGGGAAAGAAGAAAGTAATACTTTCAGTCTTGCAATATTTTGTTCTCTCCCAATATCTCACTTCTGCTTGTGTTTCTTGTCTAGATTACCTTGGAGGACTACCTCAAAGAACTAACAAAGGATTAATAAATACTGATGATACTCTGCAGAGAGTTGTACCACCCTTCTGAATTATAGAAGGAACTGTGTGAAGGGTCCCCGTCTTCTTTGATCAGTTGGTATATTAAGAATGGTGAGTGAGAACATCTCAGTCTCACATAAAGCCTGGAGGATACAGATGGTTGAAAAACAACGAACAGAAACCCACACAAGGATAATCATTTAGAGATCTAATAAAATCTAACAATCTAACAAAAATCTAATAAAACAAGCAAAATGCGCAAATACATTGGCATGGCTGAGGAGAAATGTCATTCTGTCCTTAAAAAAGAAAGTTGGAGATACATGCTAATAATTGATTGCCTGTTATTCAAACAGCAGATCTAAATCTTCTGTTTATGGGGAATTGCAGCAGCATGAGTAATGCAGTGAAATGAACAAACTTTATGAGCAAGAGCAGTGAGTATGTACTTGTAGGAGAATCCAGAGTAATATTATCTGCAGATCCTACATTTCTGTCAATCTCAGGAGCACTATCATATCTGAGCTGCAAAATTCCAGACCAGCAAAAAGTGTCAGGAAAGTGTTTAGAAATTCTAATACTTGGGTTGCCAACTACAACTTTTACTTAGGTGGAATTTTGAAACCCAGAAATGACCCTAATTCACTTCTGTAGGACAACTACAGATTTACAGGTTGCAGACCTAAAGATGCATCAGCATAGTTGTGAAAATCACTTTGAGAATTTTGATTTAGCAGGTTTACTTGGGCTAAGAAGCCTCACTTGTTAATAGCTATGCATATTAATATATTTTCAATTATTAAAGCCATTTGATTACCAAAAAGTCAGTGGTTCAGTAATGAGGCATTAGTAAACCTTTTGTTTGTTCCAAAATCAATGCAAATAGAACTCGCTGGAGAAAATCCAGCTGCAAAACTACTGATGCATACTAAATTTTATTTATGTCTTATTTGCTTAAATGCTTTTAACCTAATTCTTCAGGTGAAAGAACTCAAGACTGGATTTACAAAATAAAATAACAAGGGAGAGAGAGGGGGGACGGAAGGAAGGAAGGAAGGAAGGGAGGGAGGGAGGGAGGGAGGAAAGAAGGAAGGAAAGAATGAAGGAAAGAAGGAAGAAGAGGGGAGGGGAAAACCAGTGAGTTTGAGATATCGGTGGAGCCCTGTTGCAACATTAATTGTAGATCATCCCCATAGTATAAGCTTAATGTCAACGCTGCAAAAACATCAGATGTTTTTGCATCGACAACAGATGGAAATGCAGCCATTTTCTTCCTTTCATTTTTAGAGTTAGATGATGCTGGGGAGGGGGGATGTGAATGAAAGTCCAACTAGACATAACAACACTGAGCCTAGCGTGAGAATCAAGGTTGTTGAAATCAGATATGATAAAGAATTGGTGGGCTGGAGAGCTGGAGAGAAAGCCTACCCTTCAAGTTAATTGGGAATGTGATTTGTGACTGTAAATTGGAGGAGTGAATTGTGCTTTGATATTATGTGCCCAGGGGAGAGGAATTCAGTTTTTGGCTTTGATTATGCAGTGCCGATATTAAGCTACTCGAATAAAAGATTCTTTAAGGTAAACAATGCCTCAAGGTTCTTTTGAAGAGTTTCATCTGTCAGAACCATGACACTTAATGCTGTAACCACCAGAAACAAAAAAATAAAAAAAATATAACCCTCTCTGATTGTGACAAAAAAACATTGGTACAAAAGTTATATGCATTAAGAAAACCTGAGAATGGGCTGGTGAGTAAACTGCAAGAAAGAAAATATGTACATAGCAAATCTTTTAAAAGGACAGAACACATTTCCTACTAGTCCACTCCTGCAGCACAAACCCTCCTGCATCTTAGTGGAAAATTAGCAGTGGCAGTAGCACCAAGACTTACATACCACTCCATAATGCTTTACAGCTCTCTATGACTGGTTTACAAATGACAGCATATTGTCCCCAACAATCTGGGTCCTCATTTTACTGACCTTAGAAGGATGGAAAGTTGAGTCAATCTTGGGCAGGTCAGGATCAAATTCCTGCCTGTGGGCAGAGTTAGCCTGCAACACTGCATCCTAATTACTGCACCACCACCGCTCTGTTGAGGGAAAAGTCTTCATCGTGGCTCAGTCCAAGCCGGGGATAAACAACATGGTGACTTTTTAGAAAGAAGGTTGTAGTTTATTGAAGAGGAGAGCCAGACAGAAAGATGCCTCTGGCAGAAAAGAAAGAAAAAAGGGCTGAGCACATGTAGGGAGTGGGTTTTTATACCCTCTGGAGCCTTTTGTTTGGAGTTGTTTCCTGTTCCTGTTTAGAGGCTTTGTATTTCCTGTATCATGTATTTTGACCTGTGTCCTTTGGCATCTGTGAGTTAATCCTATTATGTCCTGTCTTAGACTTTGGGTGGGGTATGTAGGTTTTAGGTGTCTTTGTCTTCTTAATCTTCTAGCTTCAACTTTCCTGAATGGTCTGCATTTCTATAGAGCTGGTTTCTGCTTGGGGAAGGGAGACCTGGGTCTATCAAGAAAAACTGGGCATGCTTTTCTGTCTCTTTAAGATTCTTTGAGGAAATATATTTTTCTGCCCTCTTAACATTTCCTTCTCTGGGGGGGGGTGACTTCCCACAGCTCTTTACCATTATCCCCTACCATTACAATATTGCATATTCTGGACAACCTATGCAATGTGTCAAGTCAGTGGTCTCCATTTCAAATTACATTTCAAATTTCAAATAATTCCCATTCGCCCAGTGGATGCAAAATATTTCAAGCAAACAATTAAAAATAAAGCTGATCCTTTCCTTCCCCACTGCTCCCTCTAGTGCATCGTGTCAGAATTGCTGCTTCTCCAGGGCCATGATGGAAGTATTGTTTGATAAATTTGGTGTTTTGGTACCACTAAGATGATGATCCTAAGTCCTGTTTCATCTTCTTTTACTATAGCTACATTCAGTGGCTGCTCTTTTCTAACCATTAATCCAGGGACCCAATTGACAGAGCCTTTTAGCACAACTGGTAGATCAATTCAGGTCCCTATCTTACCTTCAGGATGGAAGGATTTTGTTTGTGCAAAAGAAATAGAATAATAACAACAACAATAATAATAATAATAATAATAATAATAATAATAATAATAATAATAATAATAATAATAATAATACTTCCATCCTGCGACGATACCTGTAATACCATCAAACATCCACATCTGCCTATCCCAGGTCCTGGGTAAGGACTCGATAGGTAGACAAAATGCCAAATCCAGTCTGAACATCTGGCTGACTGTGCGATGATCAATAATAATAATAATAATAATAATAATAATAATAATAATAATAAGTGGATGTGGCAGTGCCTAAATAGTGGACGTGGCAGTGCCTGGAGACAGCAGAATAGAAGAGAAAGAGCTGGAGAAGATAACAAAATACAAAGACCTACAAATAGAAATTGAAAGACTGTGGCAAAAGCAAGCAAGGGTAGTACCAATAGTAATAGGTGCCTTGGGTGCAATCCCAAAACAACTGGAGCACCACTTGAACACCATTGGCATTGACAAATTCGCTTTAGTTAATTGCAAAAGGCAGCCTTAATAGGAACTGCTTCCATCCTGCGAGGATATCTGTAATACCATCAAACATCCACATCTGCCTATCCCAGGTCTTGGGTAAGGACTCGATAGGTAGACAAAATGCCAAATCCAGTCTGAACAGCTGGCTGACTGTGCAATGATTAGTATTATTATTATTATTAATAATAATAATAATAATAATACCTTGACGTGGTTGTGGGGCTTATGTACTCTGAGGAAGATGAGAGCTATGCCAGAGGTTCAACCATACTGGACAGGTCTCATCAGAGGAGTCAGACAAAGAGTGTCTCTCCCATAAAAAATATGGTGAGACGTAAATTTCAGAATGCCATACAGGCTCGGACGTCGCCCGGGTTAACAAGGTCCGCGCTAGATATTGGAGTTCCTGGATATCTGGTGAAAAATGGGTTACAGGACTCAGGACTGTTGGCTGAGCAACCAGGGCCAGCAGCTGCAGAACTACTGGAAGAAAAGGTGTTTACCCGTCGCAGATACACAGTGATGGAAAACAAAGAAATAATGATCTGTTACTACAGATCAATTCCAACAAGAAGAGGATATCTAAAACGAATGCACCAATTCTGGAAAGAACAACATCCAGAATCAGAAATAACAGAACAGAGACTAGCAGATCAACGCCGATTTATAACATGAAATAAAGTATTCACAGAAACAGAATTGGACGAACTTCAAAGGTTTACCCAGGGCAAAGAAATCAAAGCTTTACCAGAAGTAATTCAGAATGTAGAGGCAAACCAGGGGGAGTTGGCAGTGAAGGAATCCAGCAGAGATATACAACTGTTCTCATTTGGAAACCAGGCACCTCTTCCTCAGGAAGAACAAAACCCTCTAACTAAAGAAATAAAAGAATTGAAACAAAGAATAACTGAGCATCTAGAACAGCACAAAAACAACAGAATAAGGCTACCTGCATTGAAGCTTGTTCCAAAGAAACAGCTAGCACAAGCATTAAAAGATGCAAATACGGCAATATCAAGTATAAGCACCAATTCACTGCAAGAAACAAACCAACTAATGTACAGCACAGCTGCAGTTATAACAGAATACCTGGGATGCAAAATCAACAAAAAAAGAAAAACAAACAAACAGTGCACCAGAAAAATGGAAGGTTAGACTAGAAAATAAGATCAGCAAGTTAAGATCACATGCAAGCAAGCTAGAACAGATGAAAGAAAAGAAGCTGAAGAACAAGAAGACCAAAGAATACCTAATCAAGAAATACCACTTAGAAACAAGGAAGATCAAGGAAGCACTGGAAATAATAAAGCAACAAATAACAGCTATAGCCAGGAAAATCAGTAGATATGAAGCTCGAATTGCAAACTATAGGCAGAACCTCCAATTTCAATCCAATCAGAAACGTTTCTACCAATCCATCAATGGAGAAACTGCAAGGAATCAGTCAGTACCTGACAAGGAAGAAACAGTGCAGTTCTGGAAGCAGATATGGGATAACCCAAAGAAATACAACAAGGATGCGGCTTGGTTAAAAGAGGTGGATGCAAATAAAA